TAGGGACATGTTTTGATTGTTGTTTAAGGTTTTAAACACTTCTAGGAAGGTTCAAGGTTGGCATCCAAGGCTTAGGAAGGGACTAATGTCCATTTTACCACTTTAAAAGGGGTTTACGGCACAAGAACATCATTGGCCGTAAACTCCTTTTTTCTTTTGTTATTTGATGATTTTCAAGTGTTATCAAGTGCATATTAAGCATACAAGAATCTAGGGCAAGTGTACTTACAAGATAGAAGCTTGATTTGGTGTTTAAGGTCCAAGAACACTAGTGTGTGTTCTTAGTGTTCTTGGTGTTTTGAAGATCTAAGAAAAATACAAAAATGAATGGATGAAATGATGTATAAACACTAGGTGTTATGTTATAACAACAAATCAAGTTGAGAAACACTTACATTTTCGGGAGATCGGGTGAAAGACGAGATGATAGTTGAGAGAGAATGGGGAGTAAACTTGAGGGTGGAAGTTGGAAATAGAGAGTTTGGGGAGTAAACTCCCATTTAAGCCAATGAGTTTTCGACCCTAAGGGAGTTCACGGTCCAAACTCACTTAGTTTGGCCATGAACACTAATCCAAGGCGTTGATTGTTCCATTGTTACCCCTATGTTCTAGAATTTAATTCCTTTATACCCGTTCGTTTCGAGAATAATTATTAAAAATACTCAAACGGACTTTTAAATTGGTAACAATTATTAGAAAGGTAATTGACCTTTAACTGAAGTGATTCACTTTAGAGTTTGTACGAATGAAAATTTCGGGTTTTCATAACCGGCACATCGAATAGGTAACTGTAACATTGGGGGCACCATGTATATTTGTGTGGTTATTCACACCTTATTTTGTGATCCTCGGCATCCCAGTCACAAATTGAGGGGCACATCAAGATTTAAACATGCCATTGAAAAGTTCAATGAATCTCAAAGGATCTAGGAGTTTTCAATACATTTAAAACTTAATCTCTTTTTCATTTTTCATGGTGGAAAATCAGTGAATCGTCATTCACTTACCTTCAAATGTTCTGCAATTTGGATTACGGCATCCCTCTTCCAAATTGTAGAAAATTGTGTTGGGTCCTAGCCTTAATATCTCATTTGGGTGTTTTATTAAGGACTCAATCAATCAACTAACTTGAATTTTCTCCCATTTTGTAGATGTCAAATTATGACAACTATGGTGTTCCCAAATCCCTTGGAACAAGCTTTCCACATGAGGATGATATTCCACAATTCGATCGAGGAACAAGAGATCATGCTTCATTTCTTCCACCTCCTCTTATTATTCTCCCTGACCCACAAGTTCAAAGGCTTGAAAAGTTCAAGCTCACTCAATCCCTTTTGGCAAGTAAACATGAAGAAGGAAAGTCAGTGTGTGCACACGTCTTAGAGATGAAGCTGCATGTTGACAGGTTAAGAATGTTGGGATTTGTTGTCTGTAAGAAGCTGGCTATTTGACTGGGTTCTTCAATCGATTCCCAATTCATATAGTGAGTTTGTAAGAGAGTATATATGATAGACCACAACATAACCCTTATCGATCAATTTATTTGCTTGTTGCTGCTGAATCAACAATGATTTGGCGCACTGGAGAAGCAAAGTTGATTGATAGATCTGCCTTCCAAACACTCATAGACATAGGTAATTGCAACGAAAGGCATGTCATGGTCGAAAATTTTGACCATAAGAGAAAGGCAAAGTCTGAGGTAGTTTCGTGTGTTGTTCCGAAGGAGTCAACTTACTTTTATTGCCAAGAGAAGGGGCATTGAGGACGAAGCTTCCATGTCTACCTGAGAGATCTAAGAGATGGGGAGTCAAGACGTGCGGTGTACAACCCAAGTTGTGTGTACGCTTAGCGTACAACTGAGTACGCCTCGCATACTCAGTCTAATGGGCTTCACAACTTTTTGGGCCTTGGTTGGGTCATTTCCTTGGGGTTGTTGCTTTGGGCCTTAGTGGGCCACCTGGAATCAAGCTTTTGGGCTAAGAGTTTGGACTAGGAAAATTTGTTGGGCTTTAGGGTAAGGCCCATAAAGGGGTTTGGGACCAATTTGGAAAATTGGGCCATAAGTGGGCCTTGGTTTATTATTTTGTTTTGGGCCTTTGGATATTGAGTTTGAGCCTTAGCTTTGGGCCAAACTAGGTGAGGGGTAAAATTACCATTTTACCCCAAGTATGGATTATTGGACTTATGGTCATGGATTGGAACCCAAATATTTATTGGGTGCTATTTTTATATTGATAGCTCGGGGATTCTTTAGGGAAGCAGCTAGGGTTTTGCAGTGAGATTCAACAGTTGAGGTGAGTTTCGTCACTGGGTTTTGCAGGTCTAATCAACTTTCTTGGGTTCAATTGCTTCAACGGAATCCTTGATTTTGATTAAGAAGTTGGGTTGTGGGCTTCCCCAACCTCCATACTACCTATGATGAATCTTGGTATATTATGCTTCATGATTGGTATAACCAATTTAGGATGAATAATAAACTTCATATTGAATCCTAATGATAAACACACAAATGTTCATAGTGTTGAAGTTCCTTGGTTGACCAATTATCTCCAATATTTTAGAATCTCACCATCCTGCTTAATTGTAAGCTTTTTGGTTATTCATGTCTTTTAGTTTTCAAGCAATCATACCCCCCCCCCCCCCCCAATCTTTAGTTTAATTGTAGTTAGTTTTATTAATCTAGTTCTATTGGGTTACATTGTTAATTGAATACAACCATTACCCCGAGGATCGATACCCATTTTTACTATTATATTACGTTTTATTTGCAAAACACATTGTGTAATTTGCTTGGTGGACGTGACATCCCACCATTTCTTGTCATTCTTGTTAAGCAAATTGTGAAATTCGTATATGTTTTATGATATGGAATTATTGACAAACACTTCATTTTAAATTAATCAAAATAAATATTAGATGATTTTACATTGTCGAGCATATGAGGAGTATTGAGCATTGTTGGTATTGATTGCATGAACTTAAAGGCAATTAGTGACTTTATTCAAGACCTTATTTAGACTAGATCAACTAAATGAAGTTTTACTTAAAGATCATATATTGAGTAAAATACTTTTGTCAACAGGAGATATTAGAGCATATTAATAACTTAATTATCAACCTAGACTAAACATGAATTGATGACATATTACATCTAACAACCTAGTACTTGAATAAAATTTGAAATCGGAAATGTCTTTTAATTTTTGAATTTTATTCTCTAGTTAGTTTATTTATGAAATTTAAATCGATGTTAACAAAGCTCCCCATTTTTACAACATATAGAGTGTCGTGTGAAAATATGGTTAAACAATAATTATCGTATTTTAATGATTCGACCCTACTTACTCTATACTATCCCTTAGTATATTGTAGCATTGACTTGTTATTTTTATTATTTTTATCCATTTTATTTGTTAATTTGACACTAAAACACATACAAGTTCAGTTAATCAAAGCTAATTTTGGTTCACATTTGCTCCCTCTTACTTGCAAAGAGATCCCTTTTGTTCTAAGTCTTACAAAACAAATATATATAAACTCATTTTCTTTTCACTATCTTACTTATGTACTTATGTTGGATTGTTTAAAAGTTACTTAACCTCTTATCTAACTCTTTCAACTTTCATAGTTTGGTGATTAATATCACATACAACATATATATAAGTCTACTTTAGACATTCAATATACCAACACAAATGTATAAACATTTTGCCTTTAGATAATGTATAAGGTTCAAGAATTGTCTTCAAAATGGGAAAAGCTCATTTTCCAACAACTTTCTCGCAAATCAACCAACCTGTATCAAAAGGAAAATCCATGTCATAATCCATCACCTCTATCCACATGTACTCCATAATGTAATTGATGTCTCTCACCACTTTGTAGTACGAAGATCTATTCTAAATATTCGTTAGATGAAATCATTTTGATTGAGAAAAATGTGTTTAGAGATTTAAAGATAGCGAGGATAAAGATTATAGCATGTTTGAAGATTAAAGGATACCAAAGAGAGAAATTACATATGAAAAAACATAGCAACTTTAGCAGCAAAACAAATTTCGTAATATAAGGTGAGATTTTTTTACGTGGCCAGTCATTTCACGAAATGAAGTACCATAAAAGTATTTTATGTCAGGAAAATATGTTACATTATAAAAGTAAGTATTTGACAATTACCTTCTTATGAAATCAATGGTGATTTTGTGGTATGAATCAAAGTGACTATGTTAAATAACTCCGTCTTTTTTTATATTTTTATGTTTATCCTTTTTTGTTTATTTATTGGTGGTTAATAAAAATAAGGCAGACAAGAATAAATACGGATTAAAGTATTAGTCGATGGAAATTAAGCCTTTGGTGGGAGTAGGGGAGGGTGGGTGGACTCACATGCCAAGTATTCTGACATTGACAGTTACATCACATACTTCAATTAAGCTTTGCTTGCAAAACATACTTATGGTATCATGGTCCCTCTCTTTTTCAGCTCCTTTATCTATTATTTTCTCCTTTTAAATAATCTCCCAATAAGTATAATATTATATTCATTTAACCTAATTCTAATTATAGTTTCCAAATTATATCCTTTCTGTTTATTTATTTGCATCGTTACAAGTTATTGATGCTATCCATTATGATCGACGGATACATCAGTTTTTCAGTTGAATATATGTGACAATCAGCTTGGATATAAATACTTAATAAATACAAAAATTTATTTGTGTTCTAGTTAATCCATATGAAAGGAAACAAGCGAGTAATAAAAGCAAAAGGTAAAAAACAGGAAATGTTGGTTTCTGAAAAGCTCCATGTGTTTGTAGGAGTAGCTCATAAGATGACATTGGGGACCAATGCTTTCTTTACAGTTTACAGAATAACTTTGAATAAGTGAATATAACAATATCAAAGTCACAAAGTGGGGTTGCTTATAATGGGCCGAGGAAGCCCAATTTATGGTAATGGGCCACTTGAATGTAAAACAAGAAATATTGAAAACCACAAAGTGACAGAAGATATAAAAGAAATTTATTGCAGAAGCACGATTAATTTAACTCTTACATGGCATAGTTGATGAGTATTTGAAACAGATGTCTGTCTATTCAACAATGTCACTTCATCCCAACAAATGTATATATAAAACAGCAATCATACAGATGTTACACTTACACAACCATCTTCAAATTATTCCCACAACCAAATGGTGTAAACCCTAAATGTTGATTCAGTGGTCAACGAAAGTATACAGATACCTGAGGGATATCAATGTCATTTTCCTCCTCATCTTCACACGCCACCATCAGATCCAGGTGGCGGCGATACTCCGGAATCTCCATCTTTGCCACATCTCTCGCCAGATCCACCACCTTCTTATCCATCCTGTCTTTATGCCTAGGAAACATACTGTTGTACAACAAGCAACTCCCACACGAAATGCTATAAGCATCAAGTCCCTTGTCAGCAAGCCATTTGATGAGTTCCCTTAAAGTAGGATTGCCCTTGATCGTCCACCTGTCCCACACTGTCCACGTCAGGTCTTGGTGCTTCATCACCTTTGGTGGGACCGGCTCTGCCATGGAGAACAACGGGAGTGCCAGGTTGGCAAACGTGTTGCGGTAGTCTTCCACCTTGTGGCCCCCGTCGATGACTTTGTAAAGCTCGAGGCAGACTAAACCGGTTGCCATGGCGGTTGACGTGGCGATTGCTGGGATGATTCTGCCAGCTATGAATTTGGCTCGCAGTTTGTCAACTTCCGGGATGCTGTAGTTTCTTGCTCTCATGTTTGCTAGTCCAGCTATGAAGTCCATGTGGTAATTCGTGTCATCATCCTTCAAAAATTCAATCAAATTTGTCAAAGTCAAACAATCAATCCATTATATCATACAAAAAGATTGGATATATATATATATACATACCTTTTCAAACTGAATAGGCTTCATGGTATAATCGGAAGGAAGAGACTTTCTGGCACGTTCTATATTCTTGATTAACTGATCGATAACTGCAGAATCGTCAACAGATGCAGCTGATAAAGTGGTGGCATTTTCATCGGTTTCTATTCTGACACCTTGTTTTGGTTGAAAGTCCGGGACAATAACCTTTTCAACAGCTTCGGCTAATTTCTTGGGATTCTTGGCCCACTCCGGAATTGGAATCCCGAATGTCTCCGCTCGAAGAATGGCACCCGACAACACAAAATGAAGATGACTCGGGTCGGAAACAGAGAATTCCAATGGACGCGGGAATCGCTTCGGGGCTGACCAAAACGGTGCTCCGGTACTGGTCGCAGCATCTTCCGGGAATGTAAAGATCAGTTGTTTCATACGGTTACAAAAGTAATCTTCAAACCTAAAAAACAGATTAATAAAGTTAAACATACGATTATATAATAATAATACGAAAGGAAAGAACGGAATGTAATGGAAGGGAATTACTTCAAACGAGCCCAAGTGATGCAATCTTGAAACGATTCACATTTTTCCCTATCGAGACACTCAAGAACCCGTTCTAGATTATCCCTAGCCTGGGCGTCACCGGCATTCCTCATTCCGGATGTATATTCCCCCGGATTAGAAAGATACGCGTTAACTTCCGATGGTGTTTTCTCAAGTAATCCTTCGAATTCCGACCGAGCCCAAGTCAAACAATGGTCAATGTTATGCGGGAACGAATGCACGGTACACATAGGCGCTTGTTTCTCGGGCGGGTCCCGGGAAGCACCGTAGTTTTCGGTCAAATGAGGGATAACCATCTGCGTGTTGCATTTAGCACCGAGTGTTCCAGACTCGAGAAGCGGCTTCTGGAAATATAAGCATCTTTGATCAACATAAAGCCTAGCGTTCACGTTGTCCAATGCGTTCACAACAACATTCAAATTCTCCCAGAAAGTATCGTCAAACACATTCTCGGTTTCGGGTCCCACACGATTCTGTAAAGCTTCGATCTGAAGACGAGGGTTGATCAATGAAGCTGCAGAAGCAGCAACCGTTGATTTCGCTTGTCCAATGTTCCAGTCACGAAACAGAAACTGTCTGCTGAGATTGCTTTTCTCGATGACATCATCATCTGTGACTGTTAGTTTCCCTTTAGAGCCACATGAAACACCCATCAAGGCTAGATTTTTCAAGAATTCGCAACCTAACGCGCCAGACCCCACAAGGAAAGATCGAGTGTCTTCTAGTTTTTTCTGGAATTTAGCTCCGAATACTGATATTTGAGCATCGTAACGACTGTTTAAAGGTTTGTAGTCTTCGGGTTCTAAAGGCTCAGTAGGAAGTGACTCGATGGAATCAAAGTAAAAGAATTGGTAAAGTGGATGGAACTTTCCGGAACATGCTTTCACAACCTCTTGTCCGACTATCCCACCAAACATGGCAGCCATTGGATTGAGAACTGCCCGGGACCCGTATGCAAAATCCCGCAAAAGTTTCGGATTTATATCTTCTAGTTTTCCATCTCCCAAGCTTTCATTCATGTTGCCAGCAATATCAATCAATTTCCGTGCATCGTCTTCCGACCCGGAAACCGGGAACCGACCCGATTCAGATACGAATTTATCGAGTGCTTGGAATGCTAAATGCAAAAGAGGAGGGCGATCGAATTTAGAAAAGTCACTCAATAGAAACTCCCCTGGGTTTCCAAGTGCTTCTTTTAAAGGCTTGAAATTGAGAACCTTTGACTGTTTGACTTGAGTCACAATACCACCTTTCACATATGTCCCGAAGTTAGTTGTGTCTTCTTCAAGAAAGAATGAATATGGCCTGCAGCTTTTAACTTTCCTTGGCTTTCCATCGTTAAGTTCTGTCATTCCATGAATTTCAGAGAATATAACAAGATCTCCATCTTGGAATCCGAGTCTTTCATCATCAACACATGTTATTAACGCAGGGTTATCGTTACTGATGGATGCAATGATGCCAGTATGTGGTTCTTCACCATCAACATCAACTACAGTAAACTCGGGGCCAAAATCGCAGAAAATGTTACCAAAAAGCCCTCTGACTTCGGTCTTGATGAAAGCAATAGGAGGCTGATGGTTGTGGCAGTAATCATCAAACTCAATAGCTGTCTTTAAATCTATATCGGTAAAGACCACAGCCTGAAGAATCATAAAAATACCAAAATACCCTTGTTATTTTATATATTAGAAGTTATGTGATAAACTGATATGTTTGCAAGTGGAATAATATCACAAATGGGTACCTGAAAGTTGGAAAGTTGTTCTTTAGTCAACTTTGTAGGCAAGGTGGAGACGAGTACAGCATTGTTGAGCTCCTGAAGCTTCTGGACAGAGGCTAGAGCTCTATTCTTGCCAACATCGTTTTCTGAAAAAAGAAAATTACTGGACAGATCCCAAAGTTCCACTGCACCTTCATCATGTAAAGTCACAGACTTGACTCCAGCAAGTATAAGATTTTTCGCTGCAATGAGTGAATATCAATATGAAGCCATTGATATAGCAGATCTCAAATTGAAGAAACATCAAGAAATTACAGTCTAAAACCATCAATTTTACCTATCTCAGCACCAAGTCCTTGCATCCCAGAAATCAGCACATTAGATGCAAAGAGCCGCCTCATAGTCTCACGACCATACACAGCAAGCTGTCTGCTATGGAGATCTTCATCGATCTCCTGCAAATTCCCATCTTCAAATCCCATATTACTCGCGCTATTATTATCCTCTACTGCCACGCTATTGCTGCTGTTGCTATTAGATTCCCCACCACCGCTGCTTTTCTTCTGATCACAATCCGCCGTCCCGGTGATGGTCGTTCTGGAATTTATCGATGAACAAGAAGAGATCAAACAACCGACCCGAGGCTTTTTATGCAAATTATCAGTTTTATTATCACTACTGCTATCGTCGTCTAGCTTTATTACTTCAGCAGGTCGCTTCTTAGGTAGCATATGAAGTAAAAAGCTGCTGAAAGCGCCACAAAACCCCATGGAAACGAAAATCAACAATACAATTTGCGAAAATACTAGATCGGGAAACAAACAAGCAGCGACTATAACATAGAAAGAACTAAACCCTAACCCTAGGTTTTTCTGGCTATTGGTCAAGTGAATCGCCATTAATTAACAAGGTATGATTCGATCCGATCGTGATTTTGAACTGCAAGCAAAGAAAGAGATATTAGGAAAGTAAACTTACCGATTGAAGGTAACTTGGAGCAGGAGATTCTCTTGTGAAACGGATGCTGTTGTTTGTTCTTTGCTTTGTAGGAGTCGTTGGCAGTCAGTTCTAGAGAATTCTCAACAGTGGAGGAGAGGAGAGAAAGGTTTCATTTTTTAACGGGTGATTGTAGAGTTGGAGGAAGGCGGTGGAGGACAGAAGACCTTAGCTTTAGCCCGTGGAACGCCATTAACTAAACCGGTTTTTGTCGTCGTTTAGTGGGGTTAAGTTAAGGTTAACCCTTGATCAAGTAAAAACCATTTTTAATTTTTATTATTATCATAATTTATAAGACTTATAATTTGTTAACAATAGATTTTTTTATTTTCTTTTAATTTGTTAACAATAATTTTTTTTTTTTTTTAATTTATGTTAACAATAGATTTTTTTATTTTCTTATAATTTGTTAACAATAGATTTTTTTTAAATAACCATGTATAAATTGAGACTTTTGAAAAATTTATTTTATAACAAACTTTTATTTAATTTATATAAAGTTACACTATATTAGCTAATTAACTCTTTTACATTTACTTGATCTTTTGCTCACGGCGATTGTCGTACTTCCGTTGATCGGGACTGCCATTGCGGACCATGAACGTGTGCAATGACCTTGATTTCATATGTATGTATTGTAATCAACTTTGTTAAACGTTTTGATACTTAAAACTAAACATATCAAATCAAAAGCTATTAAGATAATTGGTTCCAAAAACATATCATCAAAAACACACTAAGTTTACGACTTGACTTTAACCTAGTAATTTTTTGTAATATAATATTGTCTTGGTAAATTGCCGATATACATTGAAAAGTTGAAAAGTTGGTGGATTATAATGTAATGAACACTTGTTATTGTTCATTTGTTCATAGTAACTATTTTTATATTTTATAATTGTATTATAGAAAACTAATATACGAAGCAAAGTGTTCTTTCGAACCTATTTTAAATCGTCATGCAAGTTGAATACATACCTAATACCTAATAGACCGTCTATATCAGTATAATGTTATTAACTTTTTATTTGTGTCATGTAAAGCTTTGTAATTATCTCAACATTAGTGTTGTAACAATTGCTATTTTTAGGTTGAGCTTTTAAACCTTTAATTGGGAGAATGAAATAGAAGGAACAATTTCATAATTTTAAATCCAAGTAAATGAGTGTTAGTAGTTGAACGATATTGAGGAGTTTTTAATTATAATAGATTCTTTCTAAAGAAATATCTAATTTTAGAATAAACTAATGAACATTGTTAATTTTAATTTTTAAACCATCCACATCAATAAAATATTATTTATATTTCAAACATGTCACATCAGGTTTTATAATTACTTCTACATCAATACCACATCACTCATCTTTCTAAAATAATCATCATTGCTACATCAACAGTTATTTTATTTATTTTGACATATATATTAAATATTAAATATTAAATACTCAATAATAAAGAAACATAAATTTAATAATTTACAAATATAATAATATTTTAAATATAAAATAACAAAATAATAAATATGAAATTTATTTTACTTTATTGAATATTTAAATATTAAAACATCACAAAAACAAAAACATGAATCACAAAACCAATATTACAATATTAATACTCATTTTCTTCGTCTCCAAATTGATTCCAAATCTTTTCAACAAAATCCGTTTGTAGTTGATGATTTATGGATTTGTTATGGATATTTTGCATAAAAAATTGTAATTTAGCTTTCCCTATTTATAAGAAGTTTCTAATAAGTTAAAATTTATGACACCACACCGAAATAAATATTACTGGTATTATCCCGCATTAAGCTAATAAACATTTTAAACAAGCAATCCAAAACACCCTCTAATTCATGTCATTCAATTGATTCTTCAACTTTTTTTATATATAATGTCGCATTTAATATCGACACTCTTTTCGTAAATCCATTTAAGTACTTGTTATCCCTCAATGCCAAACAAAATGTCAAAAAAACAGTCTACCAAGTACAGTAAATTATACAAATACCCCTCTCAGACATTTTCTTTTAAATCTTGGGCCTATGATAAAGTTTATATCTTTTTTTTACTTTAACAAACAGAAAACCATAATATAGCTATAACTCATGTTGAGGTAAAAAGCACATTTGGAAGTCATTTTCTTAAATCATATCATACAATATTCATGATGATAATTTGTTGTTATATTTTCTTTTATATTCTCAGATGGATTCGTATGATGATAAATAACCTCATGTCAAACACACAACCACCCTTCATGGATATAGTATACAATATTGGTATTTTTCATTATGTTTTTCAAATTCTTATGATGATTATAAATATTATGTATGTAATTTTTTACAGTTTACACATAGGAGTAGTTAGCAGAGTTTTGTTGTCAGTTATATACCGCCCAAGAAGCTTCTAAAACTCAAGACAATCTATAATGTGGTAATTAATGAAACAATAACGTACTTACATGTCTCTACAAAAATAACAATGTACTTAAATTTTGATACCGGTATAGGCATTGTCCTTTATATTCTATAATTTTCCCTAAATAATTATTGTTTTTGCTGTAGTTATTTCTGCCGTGTGGGCTTCAAGTTGACAAAACCAACAACATTAGCTTTGATTTAAAAAAATGGCAATTGGGAAAAATAATCCCAAAAATTTCGTTTTTTTAATAACATATTCTTGATGGATAAAAGTAGATATTGTAACCTTTTTATTAGTATGCACAATTGCATCCAACGAAAATATCAATACGATAATAATAGAAAATATGTTTTTTTAGGTGACTTTATTCAAGTTATGAGGAATAGGATTTCGACTCGAAATGTTTTTACTATCAGCTAAAAATGTTAAATACAAAAAGCAACAACGTGCACTAATTTATTTGATTACTTTCATTTTTTTACATTAGGACATTATACTCTTCAATCTATTCAGCTGTATTGTATTTGAATGACATTATAGCATCCTACTTTCGTGACCCGCTAAAACCAATAAGAAAAGATCCGACCCGTGCAACGCACGGGCCTCATTTCTAGTTAGTTTATTATTATTTTTTTACTAAAACAAGGTCATTCTACAAAACTCTTTTTACATACATATCTATTCAATATTGTTCAAGAAAATCAAAATATATTAGCAAAAACACAATAACTCTCAAACACCTCATGGTACAAAACACGGCAATTTGAGAGTTCCAAAACAAAATTAAAAGACAAAGATATTTTTCATCAAATATTCCTAGGGCTTAGCCATATGAGAGGATTTCTATAAACCTTAAACTTTGATCAAATTTCCTTTAAGACCGGAGACCATAAACAACTAAATATATTAGTCTTTGATCATGTAAAAGGAAAAAAAGATTTCGATCAAGAAATTAGTTATCATCAAACAAACAATAAAAGAAAACTAGCAAGTAAAGCAAGCAACCTACTATTTATTACGAAAATTGGACAAAATAGGTTGTTATTTTACACCATGCATCAGTAAAAGTAATTTAATAATTTGTTTTGTTGAAAAATGTCACATCAATGTGAGCGTGCCGGAGTGGTTATCGGGCATGACTAGAAATCATGTGGGCTTTGCCCGCGCAGGTTCGAATCCTGCCGCTCACGATTATTTTTATTTTTTTACAGAAAATTTGGGTGTCGACCAAAACCCAAAACGGACGTTAATTTTGCACCTTTATGTCAAACACCAGATCTCGTCTCTCTTCCCGTTGATCGTTTTCATCATCATCAACTATCTCTAGTGGGAGTTTATTCGTAATTTACTACTCGTTGGAGTTGAATCGTAATTCACTAGGTTTTTCATCCATTCATATTACTGGTTTTACATGTTGAATTGCTAATCTACTAATCCATGCGTTTTATAATTAGGTCAGTTTCTATGATCTATTTATGCTCACCTCGTTGTTTTGATATCTTGGTCGTTAGAATGTGATTTGGGATTTGTTTGATTTTAATTTTAACATAATCTTGTTTGATGTCGCTGTGTAATTACAACAGGACGTTGATCTTAGGCATTTAATGGCATCATCGAGCAAGAAAAAGCATGAGAAGGAAGACGACATCGAAGAAGAAGAAGAGGTACACTTCGATTCTGGTGACTAAACTGGCCAATATACTAAAAAATTATCGGATTGTGAAGTTCTGAGAATAAAAATCAAGGGTTACGTTATGCACTGTTATTAACTACATATAGAAGAAGAATCTACGTAGTAAAGTGCTATCAAAATCAAATTTTCTTTTGGAAAGTATCTGTCTGACATAAAGAATCAAAGCATAGTTATCTGTTGTTTCTTATTGGAAACAAGGAAAGGGATAATGAAGTGTGTCAGTGATGTTTTATAAAAACCATATAAGCAACTTTGATGTTTTATATCAAATTTTATTGATGGGAAGTGTTCAAATTCATGCTCAAAGGATTACAAATTTGGTTAGTTTGTGTTTGATATATTAGGCTGGATAGTTATCTGTGCATTCTTTTAAATATTTGAAGCAAAGTAAGAAAGTGTATTATAAAGAACATTTTCAGAGAGTCCTTCCAAGTAGAAATAACTTTTCCTTGATTGTTTATTACCATGCAGTTTGAACATTTTGATGACTTTACCCTAGCCTCTTCATGGGAAAGGTATTACATATATCTCTCCTAATACTTTAATGCATATTCATATCCAATAGAGCTTTATATACACATCATCATTAATTTTACTAAATTTGTTATTTGTAGGTTTATTTCTGAAATTGAGGCTGTTTGTCGACAATGGCTGTCAAGTGGTCCCAAAAACTTGTTGGTATGCATATTTGTTTTACTAATGGATGGAAACATTATACCAGTATTCAATACAAAGTTTAATTATTTGTTAATTGCATCTTGGAAAGAAAATCAATCACCATTGATATATCTTTTGTACACTCTTTCTATAGGAAAAGGGAGCTGTTTCATTGGGAGAGCTGAAGAATTTGTATAAAGTGAAATCCGAGCTGAAATATGCCATGAAAAACTATTGCATGGAGTACTACTTTGAAATCAGTAATGCTGGTATACTTTAAACACCTCTCCAGGTTTCACTTTCAATTTCACCATGCACTCTTTGCAAATATCATCATATTCGTTGTTGCATTATATCAATCAGGAAAGGCTGTAGATTGGAGTTCCAGTTTACATGAGCTGCAATTGTCTTTTGGTGTGAAAGAATTCATGGTATCTTTGGCTCATCATCTTAATGTTCATATCATACTGTTAAATAATTAAATATAAAGGCACTTATGTTTTCAATTGTAAACAGGTAATTGCACCCCAAAGTGCCAGTGGTGTTATTCTTGATTCACCAGAGGCTAGCAAGCTTCTAAGTGCAGTTGCTATAGCCTTCTCAAATTGTTCTAGGTGGGATTCACTTATTCTTTTTTCTTTTAATTACATTACATTTGAGTTCTGAATTTCTGATTGTTGAACAATGGAACAATTTTAGTTTGTGGCCAGCATTTGTCCCAGTGCATGATCCTTCTAGAAAAGCTTATATTGGTATCCAAAACATGGGAACAGTATTTACTCGAAGATTTGAAGGAGATCTTATTTCCACTCAAGTTCCTGTAAAACTCATGCATTTGGAGGGATTATATGAGCTGTTTGTATCTAAATTTGTAAGTCACTTCCCTCATTCTGTTTTCTTTAAAGAATATTCTCTAACTGAATCATAAATGCTGTAGGCCTTTTCATCATCAGACCTTTCGACACATTTCTTCAAAGTCCATTTCACCATGAAATTAACATACAAGACTCTTCCTTATGATGAAGACAATGAAGTGCTAAATTCTGAGTCTGAGATTACTGAATCTGGAGGTGATAATGGAGGTGATAATAGAAACAAACTACAATGGGATGATGATTGTCCTTGGAGCGAGTGGTACACTGCAGAAGACCCTGTAAAAGGTAAAATAATATATTTGTGTATAATGGGGAAATGTAACTATTTTTTTTTTTTTTTGGTTACTTATAATTGCATAGAATGTGTGCAGCTTTTGAACTGGTTGCTATGTGGGGAGAGAAAATGGTGGAAAGCTCCATGGAGATGGCTGAACTTGAAAATGCTTCTATTCATGATGCTCAAAATTGGTTCATTGTTCCCGAATTCTCTTCTTATCTGTAAGGAATTGGAATTATGTTTGTTAAATTTAAAGTTTCAACATATGTTTGTATGAAATTGAAATGACACAATTCTGTCTTATAGCACTGGTGATTATACTGGAAACATGGTTGGATTTGCTTCACAACTTCGCCTTCTGATTGATGCATTAGCCATGTCCTTGGATGTTAAATTCATGGAAGATTTCGTGTCAGGTCTGATACTTATCTGTCTCTTTCTCTGTGTGTGTGTTTCCTGAATCCTGACTTTTCTGTTTGTACAGTTGAAACATCAGGATCCGACAAATTGAGGTCATCTGCAGTAATTCCTCCACCAACAGTTCTTGATCGTGTGCTTAAAGATCTTTGTCATGATGGTAAATAGTAAAATACATGTTGTAGAAAGAAAATGAAAAAGATTAAAAATAAAAATTAATATAAAATGTTTTGATTACACTACAGGACCTGAACTCATTTCACCTGAAGGTGAAGGGAGACACAAGAGTTCTAGACTTATTAAGGGGGCTCCTTTGGAAACTCTGTTTGCTCAATTTTGTTTACACTCATTATGGTTTGGAGACTGCAACATACGTGGTATAATAATCTTGAAAATTTAAAATACTGAATCAAATATTTTTATTAATACTAAAAAAGTTTGATGTTATTTTATCATTTATGTTGTTCAGCCATTTCTGTACTATGGATAGAGTTTATTAGAGAAGTACGTTGGTGTTGGGAAGAGTCACAACCATTGCCACGAATGCCAACCAAAGCTGCAATTGATCTATCAACTTGTTTAGTTCACCAAAAGCTGCAAATGGTAATTGTTTTGTTCTTATTTTTTTATATCATTATTTTTATAAACTTTCATTTTTTTTTTTTTTTTCAATATTTGCTTCACAGCTTGCAATATGTATTGAGAAAAAACGTGAACAAGATAGTACCAGTGACAACAGTAGTGATACTCCTAGTGTTGAGGTGGGTTGACATTTTTTTTTGTTTGTAAGATAAGAGATTGTGATTTGTATTTTGTGTTAATGGTTTATTTGTCTGAAGTGCAGGCTAATGAAGACTTTTCTTATCCATCAGGAGCAAAGGAAGAAGGTTTAGTGAAGGAAAGTGACAGGTGAAATAAGCAAGTGAGAGCTCCTTGGTTTTTTTTATTTATTTATTGAACATTAATGTACACCATTATTGGTATATGAAGTTCTTTTCATTTGTTGCATGTTAGTTCCCATCTTTTTTATTTTTTATTTTACATTTTCTTGTTATGTCTTTTGTAGCACCCCAACTTGTATGACATCGGGTAAGAGGAGGGGATCAGCAGGTGTGGTGGAATCCTTGATGCTTTTGAAATCACATGACAACATGCATGCTCCATTTACTCAGGTTCATCTGATTTTCACATGCTATCTTTCTTTTTTCTTTTTTTAATCTCCACAATGAATAAATTGACAGTCTTTTTTTATTTTATTTTATTTAAATCATAGGATCCACCAATTATGACAGAAGACATGCATGAAGAAAGGCTCCATGCAGTTGAAGTCTTGGGCAATTCTTTTGTACGTTGTCACATTCACATATATATGATATTATACAAAATAAATCTCCTTGCTGAAAGTTGTGTATAATTTTTGTCAGAGCTTCTCTGGGCAGTTGGAGAAGGACATCTTATCTTCAGGTACCACATAAAATGGTTTTTTTTTTCTCTGATGATTTCCCTAACTTTTTGTTGTTTGATGATTTTATTTAAAAAAAAAAAAAAGATATGTCAGCATTTAAAGCAGCAAATCCAGAAGCTGTTTTTGAAGACTTCATTCGATGGCATTCTCCAAAAGATTGGGAAGATGATAAGAGTTGTGGGCCCTCAGGAGACAAATGGCCACCTCAAGGAAAACTTTCAGAGAGAATGTCAGAATCCGGAAATTCATGGCGCAAAATTTGGAATGATGCCCCTCCTCTACCAGCTTCAGAACAAAAACCATTTATGGATCCAATTAGAGAAGGAGAAAAGGTACTACTACATTATACATTTACATTTTTTTTTACCCTCCATGATCAATGAAACTAACATACATCATCCAATATCTATAAAAAGATACTTCATTATCTGGAAACAGTAAGACCGCATCAGTTACTGGAGCAGATGGTGTGTACTGCTTTCAGAGCTGCAGCTGACACTCTTAACCAGACTAGCTTCGGTGGGTTAAAGAACATGACAATAAAAATCGACCAATTATACTTCACCATTGCTTCTGCGTTGAAGCCTTTGCAAGGTAATGTGTAAAGTGTAATGATGTCTCATTTACAAAATTTTTAGACACAAGGGTAAAATAGTCATTTTTATGCATTGGCAGCAAACAAGCTACCGGGTGATATGGAAATAATCCAAGATGTAAAACGGCTCTGTGTTGTATTCGAACACGTGGAGAAGCTGCTAACACTTGCAGCTTCCCTTCATCGCAAATTCCTAAACGCGCCTCGACTTTCACAAACCATTTTCAATGAATTCTACAATTTATACGCACCAAAAATGGGGAAAGTAGGGTTGGTTTCTCATGAAGTGAGAAAGAAGCAAGAAGTGAGGGGGAACGAGAGAGATGTTGTAACGGGTATGTTTGTGCAGCCTTCGGCTAACCAGTCATGGAGGAAGGTGTTGAGCATGGGGAATTTATTGAATGGGCACGAACCCATGTTAAGGGAGATTGTGTTCTCATTGCGTGATAGAGTGGATAGTAGCTACTATGCTCCACGTGGCAGTGGGAGTGGGAATCAATGGAGTCATCAACAGGGGGAGATTGAGACTCATAGGATGTATATTTGTGGGACTTCAAATGATTTAAGGGTTGCTCTTTCTGTTACTTCTTGTGATTGAGATTCATTAGTCTTTCTTCATTTTGAAAACTTTTCATTTCTTCTTCTTCTTCTTGTATGGTTTATTTTATATATTGTGGTTAACTTTGAAATGAACAAAGATTTAAATGTTGCCCACTTTTCGTGTTACCCTCTTCTCTTTAAACACTAATAAGAAAGCAAATGAATATAAGATGGTTTTAACCAATATAAGGTAAAAAAACAAATGTAATGTGGCTGATTTTAATCCATATCATTTCGTCATGTTGTAAAATAGCCAAAGAATGGATATGGACCTTACATACGATATTGACTCGTTTAAGGTGCATAGACTGGGCAACGGGGGAGAGGTGTTATGCCTATGTGGCATCAAATAACGGTGTCATAACACAAGGAATACCGTCCCCTTCTTCTAATATTATTTGGTGTTATGTTAAGAGATGTTATCGTGATACCATATTGTAATGGGAGTCTTTCTTTCCTTTCATTGGTTGCACATATTTATCTTTCTATGTCTCTCCTCTTAACACCATCTTATAACATTGGAACACCATCACCACTTTATGTTATAACATGTTGTCAATTTCCTCCAATTTGTATTATAACACAATTTTGACATGGCTGGTGAGGTGACAACTTTGGGGTGTGATAATATATTGTTCACACCCACTGGCCACCAGCATTAAAGTCGTTTGCAAGTATATATCACGTTTTTTCTGTAACTTGTTTATAATTTTAAAGTAATGGGAGTCTTTCTTTCCTCTCATTGGTTGCACATATTTATCTTTCTATGTCTCTCCTCTTAACACCATTTTATAATATTGGAACACCATCACCACTTTATGTTATAACATGTTGTCAATTTCCTCCAATTTGTATTATAACACAATTGACATGGCTGGTGAGGTGACAACTTTGGGGTGTGATAACATGTTGTTCACACCCACTGGCCACCAGCATTAAAGTCGTTTGCAAGTATATATCACGTTTTTTCTGTTACTTGTTTATAATTTTAGAGTAACACAGTTTAGTAATCGTTAAATGAGATTAACATCGTCAATGTGAGCGTGCCGGAGTGGTTATCGGGCATGACTAGAAATCATGTGGGCTTTGCCCGCGCATGTTCGAATCCTGCCGCTCACGATTTTATACTCCTGTATTCACTATTTTTTAAAAAATTATTGAATATTTGATAGAATTAGTGAGTAATTTAACATTTTTATTTAGTTAAAATTTGCGTTCTTTTATGCGATGCACTTTAGCTTATTGAGGGTTAAATATCTTAACTAGGTTATAACCCGTGGAAACCACGGTTAACAAAGTAAAAGAATATTGATACTTTAAAACCATAATTATTAATAAATGATTTTAAAACCAATATTAACTTTCAAATTTAGATAATTTGTGAGTAACTTTATAATTGTTGCTTTAAATTTATATACAAAATGGTTTGAAGATAAGAACGGCGTTCTTTACATATAGAATAATGAAAAAAACTTATAATGTTATATAATGAAATATAATATTGTATAATCCGGAAAAAATCAAACATAGTGAATCATGGAAAAGCATAAAATTATCTTGTTGTCTTCATGGAAAATAAATTAACGGCTATAGATTGTTATCTTGTTGTCTTTATAAAGAATATGCAAATGAGAACAGTTCACTGGAATATTACATTGTACATACTTGAAATTGGAAAAGTAACATATTACAACTCGTTACTAATTGAAGGTTTTTCTCTAAACCCTTTTGCCATTATAAAAAAGATAATCATTTAAAAAACTGTTATCGAAATGCATCCTGCCATAGGAATTTATTACATAAAGGGTCCTTGTGGTAGTAAACGGTTACAAAACTGGTTCATGTGGGAAAACAACATTACATAAATGGTCCATTTAATAAATTATGACATAAAAATTAAATAAAATTTCAATAAATTCCCATACGGTTTTGTCCTCTTTACCAAAAAACCAATTAGGAAAAGTCACACTTCAAGAAATATATATAAACTTTGATCATAAATTCAAAATTGGGAAGAACAAAGCAAAAGAATGTGAATTTGAGTGTTTGACAGAACTCGCTTTTGGCACACGAAGTAACCATAACAACATAGGCAAATTAATTTAGCAAGCTAATTTGACAACATAAGCAATAATGGAACTAAGTACACGATCAAAGTTTACCTCTTTCTTTAAGTTTCTTAATTTAATAAAGAATAAAGCTTCACGATTCAAGAAAAAAACAAAAACAAATAACGGGAATATGAAATAATAGGAAAAATAGTGGACCTATTACAACATCACCATCTCAGATGGAGTTCACAAACATATCTGATCTAATATGGTATTTTTGAAAGTTATCAATGAATAAATTAAGTAATTCAAACCAAAATAATGCAACTAACCTGAATTTCATAAATCCATTTTTCTTGAATTCAAACTCATCGATCGGATGAGTTTTATTTCCATTTGTCTTCAGAATATCACCTACAAAAAGAACTCATATTAAAAACCACAAATCCACTTTCTGTTAAATTTTCCAATAAAATGAAAAAAAAGATATATAAAATCACAAATCTCTAATACCCTTGAACCAAATACGATGAAAATGATAACCCAAGTTCAACAAAACAAACTGCTCATTATGGTATCCAGGTCATGTTCATTATAAATATAGATGTTAATTTCTAGACGTCCAAATCTTGTAAGCACCAAATATAGGACCTTCAATAGTTGGAGCCATCACCATTGAGTTAAGACATTAACAATCATAAGAATTATCTAGTCCCCTTCAATTTGTATCCAAGTTCTCCACTCAAAGTTGACTCATCTTTATCTTGCAGTTAACATATCAGCAAATTGTAGATAAGGTACTTCATGATCAATTGAATATATACAAAGAAGACTGGATAAAGAATCATAAAAACCATGTCAATTGTTGGTCCAAATCATCACAACTATTTTAAAACTTATAAAAAGATTAACCACTTTTCATTTTCATCGTCTTTCAACCCATCAAACCTAAATGAAAAAAAAAAAAAACGAAAAGGAAAGATCTTTAAAGTTCTATGTCGAGTTTTAGAAAATGACTATATTCACATATTTTATAAACATATAAGGTGAAACCAATCTCAGCATATATGTCGTATGCACATAATCGTCTACCCTAATTTGGAAATTTAAATGAACACAAAAATGGTTTCATTAGCAAACGATTTATAGCTGGAAAAAAAAATTATGTTCACCATTAACATTATATTGTTATATAATTCATGCAAATTTCACAATTTCATCATCTTCTTTCCTTCAAAGATATCATGCAAGTATTTAATGGAAATAATGAAACAACGAGTATAACTCAATAGATACATAAAATTAAACACTTATCCTGCATCAAAAAATAGATGAGCAGTAGAAACCTTAAAACGTAAATCCACTGTGTGGATCACACATGCACCAAAGTTAGAAATTAGTTGCAAAAACATATATTAAGACGATTTCAATAATACTTATTAAAACAAACTTAGACAAATTAAATCAACTAACATGGAAATTTAAATATGGAACCTTCATCACCAGTAGAGGGGGGTGTCAAGACCGACCTTAAATGACCATTTTAAATCCTACAACCAAATCATCAATGGTAGGGTTAAACCCGAGGATTAAACTATTAAAATTAATGCAGGAAGGTTTGTGGGTAGTAGAATATTTTTAATCGCAGAAAAAGATGTGATCAAAGATAATCATGGAAGGTCCGCTATCCAAGTCAAATCTGAAAGAAGATAATTCCCGATTTATCGGGATTATGTTGATAATTTTTTGTTATGATTTTATGGGATTATTCACTTTGAGCGGGAAAAGAAATCCTGGTAACGTAGGAAGTTGACACGTGTCAATTATAAGCTTTGGAAAGATGCCAAGTGGATTTTAAGGATTCATTTATTAGAGAGGTAGAGGTAGATAGATTATTTCATTTTTGAGATGTCCTAAGAAAATAACACTAATTTTCATGATTTTTTTTTTATTTTTTTATTTTTTTTTTATTTTAATGAAAAAGATATATAATTTGTTTGGGTTAGAGTAAAGACAAAATTGTAAAATTGGTCTTTATGGTTTGTAAAAAATATTTGATAGGGTCCAAAATGCTTTTAACTTGCATGGAAGGTTCAGAAATCAAGAAATTTCCGTGTTTTTAGTCTAAAAAAAACTTGAAAAGATGGTTATACCCTTATTTATTTCCTTTTACATTTTTTTTTTACATTTTATTAACATTTCAATAATAATAATATAAAGAAAATGGGTAAAACTCTATCTCTCTTATGTCTCTCTCTCTCTCTCTCACACACACACACACACACACTAATAGTGTATTTTCATTAGAGAACTTTGCAAAAAAATCCAGTTTTGCTAAACCTTAGATATAATTTCTCCAGCTTCGACGATTAAAGACCTATCGACGAATTCCCCTTCTTCGCTCTTCGTGCCAGTGAGTTGTGCTTCTCTGACTATTACTAGGGTTTCATCTCTAGATTCAAGACCCACTGACGAACTCTCCATCTCCGACGATAGCTCCAGACATGTAGAGGTGGAGGAAGCTCCGACATATAGCGGTGGTGGGATCGAAAACAGAAGGATGAAAACATGGAGCAATAGTGGAATCACAACTAAACCCTCTTTTTAATGTTGTATCCTTCAAAATCTCGATACATTTTGAGTCAATCCAAACCTTAATTTCTATGCAAACCATCTTATTGTTGTGAAATTATGGAAACCCCAAATGGAAGATGCTTTAAACTGAACACAATCATAACAAATCGAGAAAAAAATTGAAAACCCAGATCTTCAAACGCCCAGAGAAGATGATTAGTTGAACCCCTTCGTGAAGCAATCTTGCCACGAATTCTTAGAAACGATGATCTCAATCATAGTTTGTTTCCCATTCTACACCACTCTCTTGTTGATTTCAAAAAGTTGTAGTGTACTCAATTGAAACAACTTATTCTTGAAAGAAATTGGATTCATCCTAGTTCTACATGACTTTACAAATGATTTGGAGATGAATTATGTGAACATACCAGGAATTATGTGGGTGGGGTTTTGCAGTTTTGATGATGGAATGCTATTTCCAAGTTGTAGGTTCGTGTGTTGGAGAAGACGAAAAAGAGAGAGAGAGAGAGAGAGAG